ACACCCAGATGTGTATCTCTTGTGCAATGCACATCAGAGCCTCACCTGCTTCCCCCTGGGGACTTGGGGTGAGCGGCTTAAAAGGCTCTGTAATTGCCTCTCCTTTGCTCCAGTGAGGATGCTGCTCCAGAGCAGAAGCGTTGCTTGGGGAAGTACAGGTGAGATCCATGGCGTTGGGATGGGGACTTGTGCCTCCCCACAGACAAAAGCACATCACACCCCCGAGCTGCTGCGCCGTAACCCCGGCTCCATCTCAGAGGGTGCCAGTGAGTGAGTGGCACCGCGTGCCTCCCGTGGTTCCCACTTGGCGCAGTGGGACTGGGAGGAACTGGTTGCCTTGTGCTGTCAGGTTGCTAAGCAGTGCTGCTTAAGCAATGCAGGGCAAGCAGAGAGGAGTTGTGGGAGAGCACAAAGAGAAACCCAGGCAGAGCCTCTCCATGTGCAGCCGGGGCTGGGGATGGAGCCGTGTGTGGTGCAGAGCCCCCGACGCTCGGTGACAGCAGTGACATCCCCAAGCTGCAGCCCATGGGGAGCAGGTAAGGCCAGTGCAAACCGGGGCCTGGTTTAGGGCCCTTTTGCAAACACATCTCTAAGGTCACAGAATCATGGGGTCAGTTGGGTGGTCCCCAGCCACAGGCGGCCCTGAGGAGGGAGAGGTGGGGAAGGGATGCAGGTGGGGAAGCTTTGCAGCCCTATGGGGAGGTGTTAACCCTCCGCTGGCTCAGCCACGCTTCCCAAAGCTGGGAGTGAAAGGGATGAGAGCCCCTCACTGGTGTCCGGGATGGGTTCGAGCTCTTCCAGAGCACAAATCCAACGTTTTCCTTGCAAAGAAGCGGGGTAGATCACGGCCTTGGGCTGCCAGAGCTCACACATGGGGAGCAACCTGGGGACAGAGGGGTTAAGGGCACGGTGAAGCTCAGCTAAACCAGGTGCTGGAGTGACCTGCCCTGGCCGGGCTGGTGCCTTCCTGCTCAGAACCAGCCTCTGAGCAGGTAGGAATCCACCCACAAAGAGGCTGGAGAAGGGAAGAGCATCTCCATGTACCAATAAGGCGACGGGAGAGTGGCTGCTGCTCATCCCATGCCCTATGGAGCATCTTTCCGAGGCTGGATGCTTGTTTTCAGCATGGACTTGGGACAGGCTGCTTGCAGGGATGCCCCTTTCCTGGGAGCTGCTCTCCATTGCAGGTAACACTTTGCTTCCTGATGCCTTGCTGCGGGGGGTTCCCTGCTGCTGGGGTGGTGAATCCGTGCCTGGAGCCTGTGGAAGAGGAGGGGGTATCTGCTCTGACTGCACCATGTATTGGAAAGGGCTGCTCCTTCCCTGGGAGAATCCACCCAGAGAAAGCCTTCGTGTGGCTTGGGAAGCCCAGGGTGGGCGGGGGGATCAGGGATGCGATTCCACACCCATGGATCCGGGCTTGCCTTCGGAAGCGTTGGCTTTTTGCTGTGGATGACACCAGGGAGAGCAGCGCGGGCTGCAGCCTGCTCCTCGCCTCTGCTGCTGCAGACCCTGGTGCAAGCAGCCTCTGGCATGGGATCCATCCCAATGGTGATGGTGGCTCCTGCCTTTCCCTGTTGTTACCACAACCAGAGTGCATTTGAGGAGCTGTGTTTAGGAATTCCATTCGGGATGTGGGAATTGGACAAGAGGAATGGTGCTTTAGTGGCAGGACCGCGTAGATGCCAGGGCAGGAACTAGTTTGGCAACGTTGTGCAATAACCAGAGGCCTGGTGCACAGCTTTAGGGCTTAACTTTCATAAGCACCTGGAACCACCTCCAAGTCCATGTGAGTCAGTGGAGATGAGCCCTTTGGAAGGCACCCAGCCTTATCTGGAAGGCTGGGTTCAGTTGGGTTCCTTCTCCACAACAATAGATGTGGGCAGGCCGAAGAAGGGCCACAAAGATGATCCAAGGGCTGGGAAGCTGAGAGAGCTGGGACTGTTCCAGCCTGGAGAAAACAAGGCTCACGGGAGACCCTACCCTGTTCCTGTGTCTAAAGGGTGGCTACGAAGCCAATGGAGACTCCCTTTTAACAAGGAGTCCCATGGGAAAGATGAGAGGTGCCAGTTATCCCTGGGGAGATTCCATCAGCCTCTGGAATCGCCTCCCCAGGGAAGAGGTGGGTTACCCAGGGTTGGGCACTGTTAAGATCCAGCTGGACAGGCTGCTGGGACATCCAGTGCAGGTCCCCATTACGCCTTGTGGGCATCCTGCAGCATCCTTGGGACCTCTGGGTTAAAGCAGCATCTCCATGTTCTGGAGCAAGGCCTGGTCAGCTGCTGCATCCTTCCCAGTGCTTTTGCTCCTCGGCTCGTGCTCTCAAGCCCACCTTGCAGTAAGATCCCTCTATTCAGTGAGTGTGTTTGGAGCTCTCTGCGCTTCCCTGACCTGCTTAACCCGTGTTATCCCACAACGTCAGTTTTGCCTCCCTTTCTCCTTGCTCCCAAAGTCTATTTCCAGGCACTGGTGTCTGATTCACCCCAAATCCCCACTGGAACGGTTTTGATTTCCTTTTTGTGCTGCTTCTTTAAATGCCTCTGCATGAGCTGCGTTTTTAGCAGGGCTTTTGCGCCTGAGCTCTTTCCAAGCCTGGCCTCGCTGCCTGCTCCATTGGATCCCATCCCTTTGTCTGTCCTATATTTTTCTCCCCTTGTGATGTTGCTGAAGATAGGAACAAGCCCACGCTGGGCTGCAAACCCACGGCCGGGGAAGCAGAGCACAGCAGGAAATGTGTTCTCCCTCTAAAGATGCCTGATGCATTGTATCTGACGGCTGTAGCTGAAGCCCTTTGGGTGTCAGGAGGTGGCACCTTTGGAGGTGACTGCTGGCCCTCTCCCGTGGCACCCTGGGCTGTCCTCTGGGTTCATTCATGTGCTGTTTCCCGAGTGCTCAGGAAATGGGAAGTTTGGGGGGTGCTGCAAGGTTTTACTGCTGCAAAGGGAAACAGAGGCAGGGAAGAAGCTGGAGTTGTGGGGATGCGATGGAGCTCTGCCGTTTGCCTTGCAAAGCCTGTCCAGGCCCCCCTTGGGTGCTGGAGCATCGCCTTTGTGTGGCCATGGGTCTTGGGAAAGGCTCCTTTTCGGAGCTCTGAGCGAGGGATGCTCAGATGCTCAGTGCCCAACGGGAAGGCAGCAGCACCGCATGTGCCGGTCCTCGGCACTGTCCATCCCCACAGCGCGGAAACTGAGCTTCCCAAGTGAGCTGTGAGCATCCCAGTGCTGGTCCTTCCCCAGGAGCCGGGCTGGGCTCCGTTGGAGGCACCCACGTGCAGGTGCTGGCAGCCCTCCCACCGGGACTGCAGGAAGAGGCCTCATTGTCCTCCTGTTCTGAGCTGGTGGAGGAGCCCAGGCTGCAAAGGGGGCAGGAGAGAGGATGAGGCACAGCAGGGGATAAGGGGAGATGCTGGACCGAGGGCTGGGGCTGTGTTGGCGAGTGTGGCTCACCCATTGGCTGGACTTGGGCATCTCAGCACACAAGATCAGGTACAGATGAGGAGGCTGCTGCTCAGAGCCATAGGAAAAGGGGCCTCCTCTGTGCCTGGGTCACTGTTTCCTGCCCCGGGCATTCCCAAGGGGAAGCTGCGCTGATAACATGGAGATAACTGTGGAAATGCGGTGCTTTGCACAGGAAAAAGGAAAGGAAAGCAGCACATGGAGCACTGCAGAGGGGCTTTAATGAACCTGGGAGCTGAGGAACTGACTCTGGGCTTTTGTGGAGGGTTTTCTTTGTCTTGTCCCCTTTTCTTCCCTGCTCTGTCCATTCTTTCCCACCTTTTTTTCCCTTAAAACTGGACGTGGGGATAAAAAGAAATTGTGAATTTCACTCTAAAATGTGTTAGCTAACATCTGTAAATATGTCAAGAATGGTCAAAACCTTCTTCCCCCTCCATTAAGCACTCCTGGGGGGGAACCCTGTGAGAGTCCTCTGTGGTCCAAAGCCACCTCGGTTCCCTCAGTGCTCCTGATGTGATGGAGGGCACTGGTGTGAGAGTGAGTGCGGGTACAGGAGACAGCTCAGGACCGACTGCTCCTCTGTTAGCGCTGGAGCAGCTCTGCTCTGGAGCCAGGCTGAGAGAGCTGGGCTGGGGCAGCCTGGACAAGAGAAGGCTCCTGAAGGGGAGACCTGAGAGCAGCTCCAGTGCCTAAAGGGGCTGCAGGAAACCTGGAGAGGGGCTTGGGACAAGGGCCTGTAGGGACAGGACAAGGGGAATGGCTTGAACCTGCCCGAGGGGAGACTGAGCTGAGCTCTTAGGCAGAAGCTCTTCCCTGTGAGGGTGCTGAGGCGCTGGCACAGGGTGCCCAGAGAAGCTGTGGCTGCCCCATCCCTGGCAGTGCTCAAGGCCAGGTTGGACACAGGGGTTTCAGCCCCCTGCTCCAGTGAAGGCGCGCTCAGTCCCGCTGCGCTCCCATCGCTTCGTGTGCAGGCTCTGCAGGATGGTGCTTGTCATTTAGGTTTTACTTATGTATTTATTTGCTATTTTAGCTCTTAATTATTTTATTTTTTATTTTTTTCACTAATTTAAATTTATTTTTATATTTATTTTTCTTTTTTAATTTTCAGTTTCCGAATCTTTAATTCCATTTTAATGAATTGTTCCACCCTGAGCCCTGGTGCTGTTCTGTGGCCCCAGCCCCTTCCTCGCTGCTGCCATGGCCCGTGCCGGCTGCGCCGCCCCGCTGTGTCCTTGGGCCGCAGGCTCCGAGTCCCGCGTTACCGGTGACACCGGACGCGAACGGTTCCCTCCTGGCCGGGGCCGCCCGCATCGGGCCGAGGGCACATGGCCGCGGGCGGGCGGTAGGCCCCGGGGAACTACAGCCCCCAGCATGCCCTGCGAGAGGGGGGCGGAGCAGCGCGACCCCATTGGTCACCGGCGCCCTCAGCCCGGGCGGGGATTGGCCGCCGTGCGCGCCGCTGGGGGGCCGTGGGCGGAAGTGTGGGGTACGGCGGCCGCGGAGGGACGCAGTGGAGGGACGGGCGCTGCGCGTCCCGCCATGTAACGCGCCGCCGCCGCCGCTGCCCTTCGCTGCTCCGCCGGCTCCTCCCGCCCGGGATGGGGGCCCGGGGCCCGGCCCGCCGCGGGGGTGCCCGGACATGACGGGCGGCCGCGGGAGCCGCTCCAGCACCTGCCCGCCGCGACGGCACCGCCACTCCCGGGGACCGGCGGGGCTCCTCCTCGGTGAGCGGGGGCGGCCGGGCCCGGCGGCTCCGCGGGGCGCAGCGAGGCGGCTTCCGGGCCGGGGGCGGCGCGGAGGGAGCGGACGGGACCGTGCGCGGGGGCTGCGGGGCCGGGTTAGGGGGGCCCGTTCCGGGGCCGGGGTCTCCGCCTCGAGGGGAGGTGGGGGGGCGTTCAGCTCCGTGTCCGGGAGCCGGGACCCGCTCTGCAGAGCGGCAGCGCCTCGGGGCTCGGTACCGAGCGGCAGCGGCCGGGACCGGGGGGGGAGGCCCGGTTGTTGTTTTCCTCCCCGGCTCCGCTCCTGTTGTTCTTCACCACTTGGGTGCCCCAACGTGTGCGAGGGGCGGGCGCTGCCCGCATCGATGCGCGGCTCCCCGGGGGAAGCGTGCGGGTCGCTGCCGTTCCCGTCGCGTTCCGCGCACACCCGCACCTCCCAGCGCTCGTGAGCCCAAACTTCTCGGGATTCCTTCCCCCTGTTGCGCTGCCCGGGGCGCGGGGACCCCGCGGTTCGGCCTCAATGGGGGCTGCTTTGAAGCAGAAACCCGGGGCTGGGTCTGGAGCCGAGCGCGCTGTTGAGTGGGTGCAGCATCCCTGTTGGTGCTCATCCTGTCGGGAAGAGGCGCGATCCCTGCGGCAGGAGCCGCTGCGTGTTCCTGCCTTTTCGCCGGCCTGTTTATTTTTAGGGGCTTAGCGCCTGTTTGGAGGGAATGGTTGTTCCATCGCCATAGCAACGGGGCTGAGTTTGTGATAAACATTATTAAAGGAAACCTTTTCCATCGTCAGCGAGGCTTCCTTTCCATAATAAAGTTAGGAACGACAGCGAACGCTGACCCTTTTGTTTGGGCTTTGCTCCGGAGCGGGATGCGGACACCCGGCCCCTCACTCTTACCCGAGGATGCTTTTCAGCAGAGCCTTGTGCCTTTTGGAGCTGATTTAAGCTGCTGTGAGTAAACTCGCCCCTCAGCCCATGATGGTGGCAGAGGAGGAGGAGGCAAACGTCATTAGTGAGGAGCTGCTGCAGAGACCGGTGGGTTTATGGCTTACATGGAAACGATCCCATCAGTGGGATGCCAGGCACAGAACTGATCAGAGGTGTTCCGAAGTTTAACATTCCCGCTGTCTGCCCTAAAGCTTCCTGTGTGCTGTTTGGTCTGGTATCCTATAAAAGGAGAGGTGGAAAAGGGGAGATGCTTCATGTAAGCCCAGAAAAGCAGGGAATCAGGTCTGCTGTCCATAAAAGAGGCTACAGTGAGCTGTCCTTAGCCAGGGATGAGGCAGCAGAACAGTTGTAGCAGTGCGGGATGTACATGGACTGTGCTGGGAGGTCCTGGTTAAACAGGTTGAAAGGTTCTAAGGGTCAGGATGTGCTGGGCAAAGCCCTATTGGACACCAAAGCTGGCACCGTTGTCTCTCTGTCAAGGTCCACAGAGCAGTAGAGCTGTTTGGCTCATCTGCTTCTCCTAACCTGGGGCTTCAGCCATGGGTATGGTGGGAATCCTGGGGCACTGTGCTTCTTTGTGGCTTGTTCCTGTGTGCTGACACAGAGGTGAGCGCCAGCAAATGCCTGTGAAGGAGAGGAAACGCTTATTTCTCCGGAGTTAAAAAGCTGAAAGAGTTCCCTCCTGGAAGCCAAGTATTTGCTCAGCCCTGGTTTCAGGTGGAGTAACGCAGTTTGTGAGCCAGGAGCCCCACATTTACAGCAGTGTTTGTTGTAAGCAAATAGAGCCGTCAGGCTTGGAGCGGGATTGGGCAGTGAAAACTCTGGAGCTGCTCTTATCACCAGGACATCCTCCAGCATTTCCTTCCACCGAGCTTCCTGCCTCCGTAACCACGGCTTCTCCTTCAGACCAAGCTGATTTTCCTGACTGGTTTGGAAGCAGCAGCGCAGTGAGGGCCCGAGCCAAGGGGAAGACAGGAATTTGGTGGAGTTTAGGGTGGTTTTCCCTTGTTCTTGCCTGGTTTTAGTGTGCGTTAGAGCAGGTTGAAGTTGTTTGCTCCTTGGGAAGCTGCCAGGGTCCAGAGTGTTTTCATGGTGGTGGTGCAGAGGTAGATGCCTGCATCTTGACTTTTGGTTCCTTATAAATAGACCTTTAGTATACACAGATTTGCCTGTGATTTACCTGTCTTGAGGAGGTGAGCTTAGAAAACAGGACATGCTGATATCAAAATTACCTCTGCAGTGCTCTGTGTGTGCTGGAAGAGGACTGAGCACCCACACGCTTCCTGCCAGGTCAGTCTGTCCGTAGCTGCTTACAGCCTGCAGAGGCTGGGTTTGGATGGAAGCTGTGCCTTGTAGACCCTTTACCAGCCACGTTTCACCTCTGGTTTTTCACCCTTGGTTTGGGCAGTGCTGGGCAAAGACTTGATCCAACCTTGGCGTTAACCCTGCTTTGAACAAGGAGCCGGGCCCGTGACCTCCACAGATCTCCTTCAGCCAATGCTACCTCATTGCTTGTTCCCTGGAGCAGCTCTCAAGGCCTTGTGTCTGCAGAACCATTGCACAATGCAGCGGGAGCTGTTGTCAACGAATTCCTCCTGCTCACACACCGTGGCCATTCGAAACCAGGGAAGGGGATGGAGCAGTGCAGCCAAGTGTGCTCCACACACGAGGGGAGTGCTCCTGCGTGCTGTTGCTCACCTCCTGCATTGCACTCAGTGTGAGGTCCCCAAAACCATCTCAGTGGTGCTGTGGCTGCCTCTTTTCTTGCCTTTTTTGCTGCTGTTAACAGAGTGTTTCTGATCTGAGGTTCTCTGGCACCCTCTGTATCTGTCTCTGCTCTTTGCTGCTTCCAAAGTCATCCTTTGACATGTCACTTCTGTGTTAGGTACCCCGGCAGCTGTAACCATGCCATTTAAATAGGTGGTAGCACTGACTTTTCCTTTGCTGTGACATCCCTTCTTCCCCGTGCCCCATCCTTTGTTCCTGTGGGGGCTCTGACAGGGCTGTGGACCTGACTGCTTCCTTCAGTCCAGCTGCAGAAGTCATCAGGCTGCAGATGCTTGTCGGAGGCTGCTGGAACAAGCTGAGGTGGGAGATGGCTCGAGCTGTGCGTGGTGCTGAGGCCAAGCACAGGAAACTGCCAGAAGAGCTTGAAGAGGGGCGTTAGGGCAGTGTCACCAGGTGCCCCTCTCCTCTCTGAGCACCCAGAGGTGAGCCCTTGTCTGTTTGCAGCCGTGATGTAGCTCCTGGCCACATCACATTCCTGCTGTGCCATCTGGGATTGCGCACTCCTTCCGCACAGGGTGCAGAGCCTGGAGGCTCTGTAATCAGCTGCGTTGCGTGGGGCCCGTTGTGGCACAGGTAATGATGAGAAGGCACCGGAAGAGATCCGTATCTCGGATGCCTTCTGGAAGCTCCTGGCTTTGTGAAGTCCAGGCCTCAAACCCAGCTCCAGCCACTTCAGCTGAAGCTGCAGCAACCAAGTTTGCAGCGCTTGGATTGAGAATGCTGCAGCCAAATTCTGTCAGCTACTCAGTATACTTGAAGGGTCATCCGTAGGCGTCAGAGAAGCTCTCAAGACAATAATAGTGCTCTATTTTAGCATCCTCATTACAAAGTGTAACTGCCCTCTGCCTCGAGCAACTATTTTTTCCTTGTACTCAGCTGGTGCAGGATTGGAAGGGCCGTTGTTGCCTCTCTGCCTGATTCCCTCCTTGTCTTTTCAACTGAGACCTTCTCCATGGGCTCTTAGAAGGAAAATACCTTCAGCAGAAAAAGGCAGTTGGAAGTAGTGTGCTTGTAATCATTGGTGTGATTGGTTTGAAGGCAAAGCAATTAAACTGCTGGGCTTTTTATGTTGATGGGGGCTGTGCTGAGAGATTGATGCCTTCTTATAAACGGAGATGTTGTTCTGAAGGGAGTTGAAATGCTTTTTACTGATGGTGAGAGAAGCAGTATCTCTGCTGTTTGAGTGGGACATCAGGGTCCTGTCCTCACCCTGATCTCTATAGTGCCTTCAGCTGACGGGTCTGTAACACCAGACCCCTCACTGCAGAGGTGTGTGTGTGTGAATGCAAGGGACAAGAGACTCTTCTGAATTCTGATGCTTTTGAGTCCATGGCTCTGGAAATGGCTGTAACAGTGTCTGTAAGAGCAGGTCCCACCATGCCAGGGCAGGTGAGGATGTCCTGCAGAACACGGGGAGCACAGGGAGCTTCCACTGCTGCTCAGTCCTCTGGTTGCAAGGTAAAGGCTCATGAAAGGCATCAGCCGCCTCCTGCCCCAGGTGCTGAAGAAGGAGGAACCTTTTTACCATGTTCTTAAACAAAGAGAAGTGCTCATCTCGCCTCTGCTGGTTTTAATTTTACATCTTGTGTGATGTTTGCTTTTATTCGGCTTCTTCCTGAAGAAGCAACAGTTCTTTCATGTGTTCTCTGGCTAAATCAAAGCAGCTTTTTATTAACGTTAAATGAAGTGTCTTGATTCATAGCATGTTGTCTCCCATGTACATATTCTACTTCCCAGTTAGAGTACACTCCTGGGCTCTGAAGCGGCAAGTTCCACCTGTGATTCCATTGCTTTGACCAACTTGAAGGGTTATTTTCTGGCCTTCCCTTTGTATATAAGCTTCAGAAAAACCATGCTCCCAGTTGCAGTGAGGCATCGCTCCATTGTTCGCAAGTATTTAATAGAGGGACATTCATTCTTTCATAGGGTGACCTATCCATTAGCAATTCCAAAGTGCTTTCTGCCTTTCACACCCTGTTAACATGTCAGAACATAAGACTTTTAAAAGGAGGTGGTGCTGAGGATGTGCTCTGTATCCTCCAAATGATGGGCAGGATCATGACATCCCTCGAGCCTGTAAATGTCAAACATCAGTGGTAACTTGATTGATCCAACACTCCAGTACAGTTTCTGGCTGCTCCTGGGAGAAGGATCCTTCCAGCTGGAAAGCTGCAGTAGTTGGGATTTAGGCAGTGTGACCTCTTGTTTTGGTAATGGCTCCTCTGAACAACAGAGCTCTTCATTGGGAAAGGTGGGGTTTTTCTACCACTTTGGTCACTCCGTGTGTACTCTGCACTGGGACCTGGCAATAACCCTTGCCTGCGGTAGAGGCCGGTGAGCATTGAGTTAGTGGCAAGGTGCTTCTTCCTAATGGGAAGGAAGCGGGCTGATAAAATAACGGGGTTAAATCCTGGGATGAAATCTGCATGGATTTTTAGGGAGGAGGAGGGAGAAAAAAGCTTTTGCCACTCAAATGCTGCTGCTGATCCAATTGCGCCGTGATTGCCTCCCGTTGCATCAGGCAGCGCTGCTTGGTGCAGGGCTGCTGCTGGGCTTTGCTGTAGCTAAACGGAGCGTGGGAATAATCAACTTCATTTTCCTGCTCTTTCTCTGTTAACACCTATCAGTGCTATTGACAGCTCGGCAGGATGGCAGCAGCGAGGCCCTACGTCTCCACAGCACCCTGTGCGTGTGCATCATCCTGACAGGATAATGATGCTCCGCAGCGTGCGCGGCCTCTGCGCTGCCAGCAGGCAGAGACAAGATGTTATTGGCAAATCCACATCCAAGCTGGAGGAGAAGGCCTGGAAGAGTTTTCATGTGGTTGCCTGGAGTTCCCGTATGGTTCAGCTGCCACGGGGGGAAGAGGCTCAAAGCAGTGCATTGAGCAGCTGAGATTTTCTTAAGAGTACTGAGCAATTACTTTGGGCAAGCATGGAGCTGTGTGCAGATAGTAATTACCAAGGAAAGCACCTTAGGCCAGCATAGCGGGGGGGTGGTGTGGGTGTCCTGCTTGGAGATTGCTCCTTGTAATTGCAGCAATTTAACTGTCTTGATCAATGGAGCACCCCTGTGTAGCCAGGTAAGCTGCCGTTAGGCAGGGAGTCATAAAAATAGGTTAAATGCAATGGGCTGGGCCCAAAAAAAGTACCTGCCTTGGGGCACCTTATTTAAATAAGAATGTGTAGTCCTGTGTAAACTGTCAGCAGTAATCCTGTTACAGGGCTGAGTGAATTCTGAAGCTCTGACTTGTAGACTGTTCTCTTCCTTATATAGGGCTGGATAAGTGCTGGGCAGTAATGAGATTGGAATAAAAGGCTTTGGTAATGAAGATGAACTGGCAGCCCTGACCAAATCTTACTTGCCCATATGTATACATGGACCTCAAGCAATATGAGTGTGGGTGCTGCTTGCTGAAGCTGAACTTGATGCCTCTGATTTGGAGCATTTGGTGGCTTGGGCTGCAGATCACCCCAGTGCTCTATAGGTTTGCCTGTGCTGAATTTGCTTGTTTGCATGGGCAAAAAGCCCCTCATAGTTACACATATCAAACCACTTTTAGTGTAATTCATCATGATGTTTGGTATTGCAGAGTGATTTGCATTGTTTGCAGTTCATTGGAAGACATTTAAGCTGCATTAATAGAAGCTGTTCTGTTGTGGAATAGGAGAATCCATATGGGATACTTCATTAATATCATTTGATCTGTTTTAATTCATAGTGTGTCTTGTACTTCCCTTGTGCAGACAGGGTTATTAGTGTTCTGTTTGGAAACAGCTGTGGAAACTCAGATTCATGTGGTCAGATATGGTCAAGGAGAGATGTCATCTCTGCTGCCTTGTCCGTCCTTGGTGAGATGATGCATCGACAGCTTCAGTACAGGAAAACCATGCTGGAAGTGCATGAGTCAAGTGCCTGGTCCTAGAGTGTCCCAGCCTAAATGACTGATGGAGGGAAGATGTGGCAGGAGTCAGGAGATAAGCACTGGCAGCATTTGTTATCATTGTCTTTACTTTCATGTTTGCTCTCTTAGAAAAGACAGGGATGATGTGTGGAAAAGAAGTAAGATTTGAAAGGGAGATGGGGGCTTGACTGAAAGGGCTGCGCACCAAGAGGCAGGAGGAATGGGAACTGAAGGAGAGCTGAGCTGTTCTGCACCTCATGTCCATGAAGTGATGCCTTGATCTGCTCTGTTCTCATAGTGGTACTGAGGTGGGTGCAGGCAGGGGAAGGAGGTGTCGAGGGGTGGTTGGGTGTTACCTGCGTGCACCTGAGCTGGTCTCAGGACAAGTCAGAGTGGGTGAGCATGGAACAACTTTGAAAGTTATTTTTTTGGCTTGTGACTCATTGCAACTTACCCAAAGTGACCTGATTTAGTTAAATGAGGCTAAATATAACCCATGTGAAAAGTACTGACATGTGGGAGGAGACGACAGCAGTTGGCTCTCAGCCCCTGTTCTGCAGGGAACATCTTTCACGACTGGTGACTAATAATTTTTACTCTTGCTGGCTTTGGAAATAACATCTCTGCTCCATTACCCCCTTCTAGGGAGACTGAGAAAATGCACTGCTCCTAAACTGCTGCCTCTTATCTGCCTTCCAGCTTACTGCTATGGACAGTGCTATCACCCTGTGGCAGTTCCTCCTCCAGCTCCTCCAAGAGCCTCAGAACAAGAACATCATCTGTTGGACCTCCAACGACGGGGAGTTCAAACTGCTGCAGGCAGAGGAGGTGGCCAGACTCTGGGGAATCCGCAAGAACAAGCCCAGTATGAACTATGATAAACTCAGCCGTGCTCTCAGATACTATTATGTGAAGGTAACAAAGTCCTTACAGCCACCTCCAATCCTTATCCATCTTACCAGCTTCTGCCTAATGGGCTTTGTTTCCTTTTTCAGTCCCTTCAAGGGGGTAGGTGTTACTTCTGTCTCCCAGGCTTAACTAAGGTGTGTTAGCTTAGTTTTAGAGGGGTTTTTCCCCTTTGGTTTTCACTTTGCTGCATTTCCTCCCCGGTGGTTGTTCTAAGGTTCCAGGTAGCTGTGTGCACAGAGTTGCCTTCTTTGATTTATGTCATTGCTAAGACAAATCTGTCCTTGAATACTAATCCCCTTTCCAAGAATACATGCCCTTGCAAGGGTTAAAATCCTCAACACTCCACTTTAAGCAGCAGAATGAGATGTAGTGGAAGGCGTTGCTGCCCGTGGCAGGAACTGGAGGAGCTTTAAGGTCCTTTCCAACCCAGACCACTCTGATTCTATGAGATGGTGAACTTGGAACCACCTTGAGATCTGTCTGCAACTGTCTCTGAGAAGGGGTTGTCAAATCCAGGGTCTGCAGTGAAGCAGCCCAAGCATGCTTCATGTATTCAGGACTGCACCTTTGATGTGGTCAGCAGCTTTGGTCCAGCAGAGTGAGATGCTTCTCTTACTGAGCTGATGTCTTCTAATAACTTGGAGAGCCTTTCATTTAGTGCTCGGGTGGTGTCAGGAAGCTGAACCAGAACCACAGCGTGGGAGCTTTACCTCGCTTGCAGTGAGCCATTCATCCCACTGCTGTTACTGGGGGGGTATAGGAGGTACAAAATCACTTCTGAGGAACCTGCCCCTTTGGTGCTGTTGTGTGGAGCTCACTGCTGGGCAGCACAAATCTGACTTCATACTGAGAGGTCTCAGTGATGGTAATTGTACGAGACATTAAGAGCCTTCTTAGGCCCAGATTGTGTGTGGTGTTTCACTTGGGAGCAAAACAAGTTTGGCATCTGCTCTTTTGTGGTATTGAAATAGCTGGTTTGCCTGCATTCTGCTGACTAGTTCAGCTACCTACTTTCCTTTATTATCATCTTATTAAGAATAAAGGTGGGTTGATGAGAAGCATTAGCTCTCCATTCTGCAAACCTCTGAGCTTTAATTCTGCAAGTTCTGCTGTCAGATTGCACTCACTGGACCCAGGGCAGTGATCTTTGCTTCGGGGAATGGGTATTTGCTTCTTTAACATATGAAAAGGTTTAAGGCTGCTGTTAGTTTATTTAATGTCAGCTTAAGCTCACCTATTAGAGCCTTTATTCTGCAAGCTCTGGAGATGCCACCTGAGGAGCAGAATCGCCTTGCAAGAAAGCAGGGTGGTTTTAAATAAAGAAAGAAGGAACAGTTTTTGATGGAAGATTACAGACTCCTGGGTTCCTCTGTCTATTTCTGGCAGTGTTTGTAGGAAGAAAATTAATCTGGAGAAGGTCTCAATGCATATTTATATCTTCTTACCCACAGAATATCATTAAGAAAGTGAATGGGAAGAAGTTTGTGTACAAGTTTGTTTCTTATCCGGAGATTTTAAACATGGATCCGCTGGTCGTGGGCCGGATAGAAGGAGACCCCGAAATGAGTGGTTTTGCAGAAGTCAGCAGTGCTCCAAAGGATGTGGAAAGCTGCGGGAAGGAGAAGGCTCAGTCCTGTGCGAAGTCCTCCAGCCGCAATGACTACATCCACTCGGGCTTGTACTCCTCGTTCACTCTGAACTCCCTCAACTCTTCCAGCGTCAAACTCTTCAGGTCCATCAAGATTGAGAATCCAGCTGAGAAGCTGACCGAGAAGAAACCCGCTCAGGACCCAACACCCTCCGTCATCAAGTTTGTGACCATGCCCTCCAAAAAGCCTTCATCGGTCCCCTTGGTCTCCACCACTTCCACGGTCTCTGCCACTTCCACTGCTTCTGCCACTTCAACCGTGTCCTCCCTTCCCATGGGAACAGAAGACACTCTCCAGACCTTGGAGACCCTCGTTCTACCCAAGTTACCTGTCCCTGAAGCTCCAGCCCCTTTGCCAAACCTAACCACCAGCTTCACCCCAACGCCACCCATATCCTCAGTGTCCCCCAGCCTGCAGGTTCCTTCCACGCCCCCATCGCCACCCCTGAGCTCTAATCCTGACCTGGACATTGACACGGACATCGAATCCGTGGCTTCTCAGCAGCTGGAGCAGGCTCAGAGCCTTCAGCATCAATCCCCAGAGCCCAAAGAGCAGGATTCATCTGTGCTGGAGAAGGAATTTGCCAATCACCTCTCCAGATCCAAAAAACCCAAAGGGCTGGAGTTGGCTCCTACTCTCGTCATTACAGGCAGCGATCCAAGTCCGCTGGGGATTCTGAGTCCTTCTCTCCCAACTGCTTCTCTTACTCCAGCACTTTTCTCTCAGGTAACCCAATTCCCTTCCTGGTTTTGGTGTTTAAAGGAACAATAGTGGTTGTGTTCTCGTCGAAAATGGAGAGGGAAGCAAGTGGAAAAACACATAGTCCATAGGTTGTGTTTGGAGTCTGGAAACTTAGTCTGGCACTCCCATTTTGTTCATACTTGGGATTAGCTTCTCCCCCAGAGTGTGCCCAAGCGGTGTGTCAGCTCTGCACGTCTGTGCAGTGTTGGCGTGTGGAGGCAAAACCCAAAGCAGCACCAGCAGGATCCTTTGTGCATCTTGCCAGGGTGCTCCTGAATTATTCCCAAAGCCCTCAACCCTCCCATTTTCCTTCAGGCTGATTCTGAAACTGCTTTAAAAATAGAGCAGCACGGAGGTGTGTGCTTAGCAGCTTGCTTTTCCTGGGTTCAGGAGGCAGCTACTGCAGACCAGAGTATTGTGACTTTGCAGCAGCTGCTTAATTTAGTTGTTATCTTTGTGTGGGAAAGGAAAGTTTTTATGCCTCATGGAAAATTTGGAGGAGAACCAAATCCAAGTGGGCTGTTAAATGGGTCTGGATGGGTTGAATCTCTTTCCTGTCGTTCAAATTGGAGGGAAACTGCTGAGTGCAAACTGAAATGGTTGAAGGCAGGGAAAACATGGAGGGGAGTCGATCTTTTGGCATCCTTCAAAGTGTTTGGCCATGAATCTGGAGCATTGGGAGTATTTGGAAGCTGGAGGGACACTGTCAGTGCCACCTCGGCCATGCGGGTGCCCACGACCTGCTCTTAATTCGCAGGCTGAGTGTTCCATGGCCGCTTGCAGGTGCTGAATTGCAGGAGGAGCCGATTTGCTGTGGGTTGCAGCTGGATTTGGCAGCTGTTGGGAGAAGGGGGCCAACTGCTCAGCAAGGGGAGGGCGAGCCGGATGGGGGTGGCTGTTGTGGGGTTTGTGGGGGGGAGGAGGAGGGAATGGGAGCTCCTTGGGCTGTGGAGCCAGGCCTGTGCAGCTGCAGGAGCCGGGATGGTGGCTCTGGATTGATGCGGGCTTCGCGTTGCTGGCACTGCCGCTTCCCACCGCTGCTCTCTCCTTGTGTTTTGCAGACTCCCATCTTGCTGACCCCCAGTCCCTTGCTCTCCAGCATTCACTTCTGGAGCACCCTGAGCCCCGTTGCTCCTCTGAGTCCTGCCAGGTTGCAAGGTGCTAACACCCTCTTCCAGGTAAGTTCAGCCAGTCTCACCGTGCTTCGCGGTACTTTAGAGACCTGCAGGCTCCAGCCCAAGTACCTCTTGTAGGACCCAGACAGTGATGTGCCTGGTTTCTATCCCTGATACATACATAAAAACGTCCCCTCTATTTAGAAAAAAATACATCCTTATAATTATTCATGTTCCTCTTCCACCTTTTGCTTTGGAGTGGAATAACCACATCCATTGCCTGAGTCTGCTTAGGCAAAGGGCAGAATGTAACCATCAGTCTTTTGGGCTTGTATCTGTGATCTCTGTGGAGGAGAAGGAGGTAGCTTTGTATGTACTGTGAGTAGAGGGGAAATGCATTGGACACTTTATGTACAGCTGAGAATGAGCTGGGGAGCAATTCAGAGCATGTGGAAAACCTGTGTCAAGTCACTTATTGAGGATGGCATCAGTGCTCAGCGCTGAGGTTATCCTCAGTGGGTTGCTCCCCTCTGATGCAGGGGCACCACAGTGAATTGCTTGGGGGAAGCCAAGGGTGTTTTCCTTTGTGTTTTGAGGTGTCTTTTTCTTTCCTGGGGGAGTCTCCACAGGCACAGATAGGACAGGAATGGTGAATGGACATGGCCTCTTGCCTAACGGTTTTGTTTTGTCTCTTAGTTTCCATCAGTGCTGAACAGTCATGGCCCATTTACTCTGTCTGGACTGGATGGACCCTCTACCCCTGGCCCGTTTTCCCCTGATCTCCAGAAGACATAGCACATGAACTGACGGGAAGGACAGACTGGCAAGCAAGGGAAAGACAGGACACTTAACATGAAACCGTGTTTTTTAAATGAGCAATTTGTAATTCCCCAGAGGTGATCAGCAGTTATCATAGTTTTTGCCATTCCCAAATCAAATGCCTTTTTTGCAAAATTCCCTTTTTTTGAAGACCCAGGTTGGGAATGTTTGTGCAAACGCCTTAATAGGAGCTGCAGCTCCAGTCTCTTCTCTTCCCTCCTTGGATCGGAAGACTTCCCTATGCTTAAAGGGAGCTTTGGTTGGTGTTGCAGTAACTGAGTCTGCACTGACTGCAGTTAAACAGTATCAGAGAAGTCTTTTCTCTGGGACTCTTGGAGAAACCCTCTGTTCTTCTGCTTCCTGTGCTTGGCAAGAAGAAATCTAATCATGATCGAAGCTGGCATTCCAGGAAATGCTTGGGAAAGGGGTGTGTGCGCTCAGCTTCGCCTTGGGGCCTGATAACTTGTGCAGCAACAGAGCAGCCCGCATCTTTTCTGCTGTAAAAACAGCTTGTCTTTCTGCAGGGAGAGCTTTTCAAGGAATACCCAGTGATTTGTTACTGACATCCGGACAGTTTTCCAATGGCATCGTGTCCCCACAGCCCAGCTCCTCAGGGAAGTGAGCTGGAAAGCTCCTGGATGCTTCTTCCTGCCCTCCCGTCGGTGAGGAGGCAAGATCTGGAGCCAGATGAGCGGTGGGATTAGATCCTTCCGGTTCTCAGAAGGTTTGAATGCTCAAGTCCAAACATTTCTTGTGCCAGAGACCTTACAGAGCCCTGCTGGAACAGCACCAGGCTGGTGGATTTCACACGCAGGTTTGAGGGTGGCTCTGGATTTGTGAGGTTGCTGCCTGATGCTCGAGTTTCAGCAGCCCCAGCAGTGGGTGAGAGCGGTAACGTTCCTGCTCTTGGCCCTCAGCTGGAGTGGAGAAGCTCCTCTTCTGCCCACTCTTATTTCAGGGTTTCCATTGGATCCGGTGCTTTTCTCATTTGAAGAAGCACTGGATCCCAAACGACTTCAGCTCAGTCTGTGCAGCCAAGAGGGTACCACGGCCTGTCCGCCTCCAAGGAGATCTGTGCTTGGGCTCCTCTTCTTGATGGCTGTGTGTACATGGGTTAACCCAAGGCTGGTGTCCAGAGCCATGAAACATGGGGGAAATGGAATCTGTAGTTAGCTTTTTACACCTCAGGAGGCTTTTAAGAGAGCATTTAAGAGGAATCAAAGGAGAGAGGCTCTCCTCTCGCAGGCTGGATGCTGTACTCTTGGTGCGGGGTGAGGTGCCCTTCTGCTGTGGGCATCTGACGTCAGGCAGCAACCTCTGTGTGTGCACACTGAGCTTGTGACATAAGGTGATCCTCTCTGTAAAATACCTGCTAGAAACCGGATGGAGACCATCTCTTTCCTTTGGCTTTCTTCACAGTGGTGATGAGCAGAGGAGGATTGTACCTGTACACAAGAGGAGCTGACAGCGCACGCTCTGTCAGTTGCACCCATCTTCTGCAGAAGTGGTGAACTTGAGCTTTCCAGAGTTTTCCTTTTGCCACTTTTGCAGGCTCTGAATTCACTTTAAAAACCCAAGACTTTACTGCAGTGACGTTATCTTCTGTGTTCTGGCATTGAAACCTGTACAGCGCTTGGTGTGTTCCTGACAGAGCACCCGAGACGGGAGGTGAGGGGGTTGCTTTTTGGGCATTGCTCATCCCCAAAGTCCCCTGCCCGTTGGAGGTGGGAGGGAGGAGGTGGAGGTAGCAGGGAGTGAGCTCGTGGTGAACTGTCTTCCTGTTCCGTTGCGTCAGAGGCACGATGCTGCTTCGCGTTCAGACATCAGCAGATGCAGGATGAGTTCCTGTGCCAGCAGCTCTTCAGATGACAATGTGCAATATTGACCTTTTTTGTTTTGAATGCAGAAAGCAAGCGGCAGATCTTAACCAAGAGCAGGCACCGGGAGTTCTCTGGTTTGCATGATGCCTTGTGAGTCTGCTCTAGAAAATATATATATAGCTATGTATAAATAGCAGCACTTTTAATGGTTGTTTTAGGCTGGCCAATTTTATTGCCCACCAAGTGTGAGCAACATTGCAGACTAGGATTAGAGTTTAAAACAGAATTAATGAGCACTAAAGACTTGCAATTTAATTGCTTCCCTTTCCTTATCCCCTATGGAGAAAAGCCAAGTTTATTTGTTGTGTATGTGCACACATGCACTTAACTGTGTGTAAACTCTATCACTTTCAGCATAGGTATGCAGGAGAACCAAGTGCTAACATAGCTTGTTCGTTGTGCTTGGCCTGGTTTGATGCTCTTCTCCTCGCAGCTTCCTAAGATCCCTCTGTGTAGCTGGTTGGTGATACACATTCACCTCTGGGGATGCCATCCTAGAGGAAATGACTATGAATATGCAGCCTGGCTGTGTTGTTTTAGTCTGAAATATCCAGCTTCTTCACAGATAGCACTGAGAAGAGGATTGCTTTGGCTTCTTAAGCACCTGCCTAGGAAAAGACAGGATCATAATCTCAGGAGGCAGTTGGGAAAGCACATAGAGAGGGCTGGGGAGGTGGGAGAGGAGCCACTTGCCACCTCTTCTCCATTACAACTTTCAGGTCACTTAAGATAATATTATCTTGTATATATGCTGCCTCATTAAGCACACATTTACTAACAATTGTATTAATTGTCAGCTTTTTGGGATCACATTCCTGTGACTTCTTGGAGCTTGGTTCTGTGCATTGCTGGTACTCCACAAGCTCACTTCAGGAGCAGTTTGCAGCTCGTTGCAACTCGTTTTCTATGTAGGGAAGGTTGGGGTTAATACTGGCTCTCTTGGTGATCATGGATTATCTGTAATATGGGTCTAGCACTGTGCTGGTTTAAAAACATCATCATGCAGCCTCACAGAAGCATCTCATCACAGCTCATGTTGCTGAGGTGGTATTGCTGAGTGCTTGGTAACACTTGCATCAGTGAATTCATCAGTGGTGGTAGAATTAGGCTGGATGAGCTTGGAAGCTGAACATCTGCCCTGCTTCTGGAAATCTCTTTATGTGTCACTGCTGCTCTATAATAGTACTGCAGGGTTCGAAAGCTTGCACTGCTGTTGCTGTGTGTGCCCTGTCAGGCTTTATTTGAGATGCTGAGCTGTCAGGATGCCACCAGCTACACGTGCTGCAGGCAGAAACCATCCATGGGAAGCGGAATGGTGTTAATAATACCCCGTGGTTATAGAACCCTTCTTGTTCTGTCTCACCTCTTTCAGAGGATGTGATCCTCATGCTGAGGGTGGTGGAGGCAAGGTCTGGGTTTGTTTTCTTAGCAGCAGCTTAAATTCAGCTCCTTGTTTCAGTGATCATTCTTCAGTAGGGATGCTGAATGTGATTCCCATGCACTGGCTTTGGCACACCCAAGTTGCATTTTGCAGGAGGTCAGGAAGTGATAAAATTCCTTGAATTTGAGAATTCATTGTTTTCACTTAGAGCATCTTAAGGCTTCAGTGTCCATTTGGCGCAGTGGAGCGTGTGTTTTAATATGAAAGGCTTTGGCTGTTCAGTGGTGGGTTTGGGAGAGTTTCTCCCTCTGCTGTGTCCTCAGCCCTCAGATACCTGGCTGATGGATTCCTCTGGGGTTTCAGCGTTCACTTGCAGCAGGGGGGGCTGCTCCTGCGCCCGTCTTCCTGCATGCAGCTTACAGAAACGCAGCGAGCTGCAGGGCTGCCAGCTCCCTCAGGACTTCAGCTTCCGAGGGTGAGAGCAGTGGAAGAGCCGCGATGCAGTGTCTCAGGTGGGCACAGGCCCAGTTCTGCTCCACATCTAGTGCTGAGGTCAGGGCTGGAGGTTCTGATCTGTTGGCTGCCCCATGGTTTCTTCATGCATCTTTTAGTTACCTTTTGCTACTGTTTTATAGCAGTTTTGTCTGTACCTGTGTTTCTGATATGATTCAACCTCTTCCATTTTTATGCGTATTTGTTTACAAGACACATCTCAGTGTTTATCAAGAGGCTATCTTGGTATTGTCAGCTATGAAATTCAACTACGTCGGTAGTTAAGGAACATTGTCAAAGGTGACAGGTATTTTAAAACTGATGGTTGAGCTTTGGGTCTCCATCACAACATTGTTCTGTTCCATTCCATAGTTCTCCTGTGTAAGAGCCACACGTACCTTCTGGGTGCTGAGGTCCTGGCGATGGAGAGGTTCAGAATCATGCAGCATGGTGTTGCAAACCCAGGGCCCGAGCCCCACGTGCTCTTACACTCAGCGGATAAGTTGAAAATCCATTGCAATTGCAATCACGAAGCTCTTTGGGATGATTTCATGAGCTCTGGTATCCTTGTCTAAACAGGACTGCTTATGGTTTGATTTGCATTTAATTAAACAGTGATGGGCAATGGCTGCTGTTGAGTCTGAATGGAGCAGATCTGCTTAATGCAGAAGCCTTTGGCTATTGCGCTGTGCTGAGTGGTGTGTGCCATGCTGCAGCTGATCTGCTCAAATCAGCTGCTCTCAGAGGAAGGTAGAAAGATAAAAAGGCAGTGACACCGTTTTACACTGTCCCTCAGGGCTGTTCCTCCTGGCTCAACACCTGTGGATGCACCATTCCACTCGGTAGTGCTGCCTGTGCAGGGGCCAGGGGTGAAAGCTGATTCCAGACAGGAAAACCAGCTCTTTTCTCCATAGGCTGCTGTTGGGCACAAGGATGTAACAGAGGAGCCACAGCAGCGCTGCCCGGTTCCTGCAGCCTGTGTTTAGCATCACCAGCCCCTCTGTCCATATGTCCTGACCGTCCTGGTGCCACCTAAAGCAGAAGGGTTAAGTTTTGGGTTTGGGTGTCTGGGGATCCTGAGCTGAGGACTGTGTTACCCTTGCCTGTTTACAAAGAGCAAGCACAACTAAGGGGGAGTGTGTTCACTGCAGAGCAACGATGCTTTCTGGAGGATGCAGCTTTGCTGACCATAACCATGCTTTGCAAAACAAGGTAAGGAAGCTGGGCAGGACCCCATGATGTCTCTTGAATGAGTGTGCTGAAGTATTCTTAGCTTTCAGGATAGCAAGATATCCACTTCATCTGCATTGTTCCACCCAACAAAGTCCAGCTGGCTAGAGCTTAGTTTTGTTCACCCCCTCCCAAAGGATGTAGTGGAAGATTTGGCTGTGGAGCTCTGTGATGTGTGCTAAAAACCAGGCTTTGAGAGCTGTAGATGTGGATTCAGCTGAGACTGGAATAGCTCTTGTGAACATACGTGTGGCCACACGTGCTCACTGCCTGGGAGGATCAGTGTTCTCACAGAGTCTGGCTTTGCATGTGTGGAGATAACACATTAGATAATGCCACATACACCAGAGCAGACGCTGCACTCTGCAGTGCCACTTCTCACACGCTGCTGAGCTATTGGGAGGCTTTTTAGTTTCTGGTATTCCATTATACCATGGTGTGGATGAATTGGTTGCCAAAGGTTATTTCTCACTGCACCTTTGACATTCATAAATGTCTTAACTGTGTCTTTATTGAATAGTTTTATGGTCATGGAACAGAAGTTTGGACTTCTCGTACTTCAAGCCCTTGCTCCTCTGTTGAGACCACGCGTTGCAGAAGGTTTTCATCTCCGAGGTGGACTTTGAGCAGGGAGTTAACGGAATGATGCTGAACCTTTGGGAATCAGGGCTCTCTTAGTGGAGACGTGGATGAGCTGCGAGCAGCGCAGGCAGGAGAGGGAGGAGAAGGGAAGCGCCGTGGCCGGAGCCGGTTCGGGCCGCGGGCAGCACATGCAGCGGTGCTGTACTGATAACTGGAAGCTGTTTTTTATTCTTTTCGGGGTTTATTTCCTTTTTCTCTCTTTTTTGAGCACAGGAAGGCTCGGAGGATGGGCTCTGCATGGTTCCGTGTGTGTGCTGTGTGCTGGGG